CTGTTAACTTATTATCGTTCATTTATTGTGATATCATTCTCAAGACCACATTTAATTAATTATTGGATAAAGGACGGTGTATCGTTCGAAGTATTGCCCTCCATCGCAGCACTCAATAAATTACATCTAATAAAATCAGCGTTTTATCACTCGCAAATAATACAAAACACATTTTGGTCCTTCGAGCCGGATGTGCGCGTTTCGGAACGGATGAGCGCCGCGAACGATTTATCGCAAGATTAGCTACGCGTTAATCTAGAAAATAAGAGATTATTAAGAACAAGATGATTTCCTGTGGATTCGAACAATATAATTTTCGTTTTGAGAACGTTCTAGAACATTTTGAAATATTAACGTTAGTTGTGTTATGATCGATCGACCTTCGGAACATCCCTTGTTCACGTGATATCGACGTTGTGACTGGTGTTTGTTTCCGTGATCGCTCCGAAATTTCGTGGATATCAAAGACACAGAGTGAAGTGAAGGTTATTAAGCAGCACAATAAAGTCAAGACGAAAAATGAGTATTGACACTCTTCGCAAACAAAGGAGGTATCTAAAAGCGAAATTAACCAACATTAACAATTTTATCAGCAGGGTCAAAAGGGATGCTGACACAGTACCAGAGGAGGTGACGGCGCGACTTCAAGCCACCGAGGTGATATATATCGAATTTCAAGAGGTTTCACAGCGACTTTTAATACATAATGACGAGCCCGATGCGAGGGATGAAATGGAGGACTCCGAGTTTGACGAAAGATATTACTCCATAAAGGCTGAGTTATTACAGTTATTGGAAAGGCTTAAGCCACCCTCAGCAGGACCATCAGGCGACAGCGCAGGCGGTTCGACCAGTGATGCGACGATGAAGCGATTTCTAGAGCAGCAGACAATTTTAATACAAAAATTAACGGAGCGTAATGACAATGAGATGCTAGTTCGAACGATGAAACAACAAGGTCAACTGTTGGAGAGATTGAACACGAGATTGAGCACGTCCGTACGTGAGACTCAAGTAAAATTGTCATCGATCAAGTTGCCGACATTTGACGGGAATGTTGAGGAGTAGAAGAGATACTCGGACACCTTCAAAACCTTGATTCATGATAGCGAGCTATCGGGTGTGCAAAAGCATCAATATCTAGTCGGATCTCTCAGTGGCTCAGCGGCAAAGGTTATAGAGGCGATCGATATTTCCGAAGACAATTATGTCATCGCCTGGGAATTATTAAAAAAGAGATATGACGATGAGATAGGAATAAAAAGGCGGCACATACAATGTCTAATGGACGAGTTGCCAAAAATAAGGCAAGAATCTGCAAGTGCGATTCAGGAGCTTGTAGATCATTTGCAGAAGCATTTAAGAGTGTTGCAATCAATGAAACTTCCCACAGAAGCGTGGGGAGATCTAATTATATACATAATCGAGAAACATTTGGACGATGCTACCAGATGACGGTGGGAAGAGCACATCGAGAGTAGGGAAGCCGTCACGACGAGCACTATAATCGAGTTTTTGCAGCGGCATAGCCAGCTGTTGCGACGGCTGTGGATGACAATACTGGCAGAATAAGGAGCGAGGCCGGCGAGAGGGAGAGATCGAGCAGGCAGCGAATTTCGACTACAAGGTCACGAGGCAGGGCGATACTGGCAACCACAAGTCAAGAAAAAACATGTTATTTGTGTCAAGGACAGCACTTTGTTTATAGTTGCAAAAAATTCTTGGGTTTGACTGTCGAAGACAGAATCAAAGAAATTAAAAAACTAAATTTATGTCTCAACTGTTTTCGATCAGATCATTACGCTAGAACTTGCAGGTATGGTTCGTGTAGAGAATACGGTGAGCGGCACAACACGCTGTGTCACATGAGGGGACAGACGTTCAATCCGCCGGCGGGGCCGACAAGGAGGACAACAGAAAATCCTGGGGCGGCAGCCGCTGGTGTGACGCTCTGTTCAATGACGAATACCGTGAGAGGAACGGCGACTGGCGACATCAAATCATCTGATCATCATACCCGGGTTGAATGCGAGCGCGGGCGAGTTTTGATGGCAACGGCTATCGTAAATGTAACAACAAGTATCGGTGAATCTCAATTGCGAGTACTGTTAGATAGCGCAAGCGAGCTTAACTTTATTACGGCGGCAGCGTGTAATAAATTAAACATAAAATTAGAGAATGATCGAGAAAACATAAGCGGATTAAATGGCATGAGTTGTCTTATAACTCACGGTTGCAAAATTTCATTGAAATCGCGAGCGTCAGATTTCAATTTAAACGCGTATTGTCTAGTTGTTCCGAGCATAACTAAAAAATTGCCTTCATTTACAGTCGAGGTATCGAAGTTGCGATTCAAAATTCCTGACAATTTAAAGTTAGCTGATCCATTATATTTTAATCCCGGTCACATTGATGCGCTCATTGGCAGCGAGTTCTTTTTTCAATTACTGGATAATGGTAAAATTGGGCTAGGCAACTATTTGTTGGCGTTGCAAAATACGAAATTCGGATGGATTATATCGGGTACCGCAACACTTGATTGTCAGTCGGACGCCCAATCGTCAATCTTCAAGCAATCATACGTGTCTATTTGCGCAGCAATCATCAATTGACGAAACCATGAAATTATTCTGGGAATTGGAAGAATATAAGAACAAAAACACGCGATTGTCGAAGGAAGAACAATGTTGCGAAATTCATTTTGTAAATACTACTACTCGAGACGCGTCATCCGGACGGTTTGTCGTTCGACTGCCCTTTCGGGAAAACAAACAACAGTTGGGTCGATCGAGGGATATCGCCATGAAACGATTCAATCATCTAGAACGTAAATTTCAAATAAATACACAATTTCGTGATAAATATGTTGAGTTTATGCGCGAATATATCGCTTTGGGGCACATGTCTGTAGTTGACGAGGATGATGGCGTGTCGAGTCCGATATATCTACCGCATCACGGCGTGATTCGCGAAGCAAGCATAACAACAAAATTACGAGTCGTATTCGACGCCTCAGCAAAGACTACATCTGGTTTTTCTCTAAATGACACATTAATGATAGGATCAAATTTACAGGACAACATAATTGATATGGTGATGCGTTTTTGATTGCCAGCCATAGCAATCACCGCAGATCTTCAAAAAATGTACCGTTAAATATGGGTACATTGGGTTGATCGCGATTATCAGAGAATCTTATGGCGGTTTTCCCCGACCGACCCAATTAGAGAATATAAATTAAATACTGTGACATACGGCCAGGCATGCGCTCCGTTTTTGGCCATTCGCTGCGTGTGACAGTTAGCGGAGGAAGGAGCTAGCGAATTTAGCGACGCGTCGAAAGCGCTATTAAATGACTTGTATGTAGACGACATCATTACCGGAGTCAATTGTGAAGAAAAAGCGAAAAATTTGATCTCACAATTGGAATTGTTGTTGGGCAGAGGCGGATTCAAGGCGCATAAATGGCGTATGAATAGTGAGAAGGTGATAAAAAAATTGCGAGTGATCGATCAGATAGGGGAGCCTTCTGCTCTGGCGATCGAGGCGAGTAGAATGAGGACGCTAGGGTTGAACTGGTGTCCGAAAACAGACGTTTTTCAATTTTCTATTGATGTTATGAGCAAGTCAGTTTCGACGAAGCGTGAGGTCTTGTCAACAATTTCAAAACTATTTGACCCGCTCGGATTAATCGGTCCTATTATAGTTAGAGCGAAGCTCATTATGCAAGAAACTTGGATATCTAATCTCGGGTGGGACGAACCGTTAACAGAGAATCTCCGTCAAGCGTGGGATACGTATGTAGAGGATTTACAGGGTATCGGCGCGATTCGAGTTCCGCGCAGAATCGTTCAATGCCCAAACGCAGTGCGCTTCAATCTTCATGCATTTTGCGACGTTTCGTTAAGGGCGTACGGAGCTTGCATATATTTTCAAGCGATCGATGAGAGCAATAATTCTAGTTTGTTTCTAATTTGTTCCAAATCACGAGTAGCACAAGTTAAGAGCAAAACTATTACGTTGCCAAGACTCGAATTATGCGGTGCCATTGTTCTCATCAGATTAGTTCAAAACGTAAAAAGAGCACTCAAGATTGCGTTTGATGAGGTGCATGCATGGAGCGATTCGACAATAGTGCTAGCATGGATCGCCGGCGATCCATCGCGTCAGAAAACATTTGTATCAAATAGAGTAGCCGAGATACAGTCCGTCCTCCCATCAAATCATTGGCATCACGTCGATGGGAGTGAAAATCCAGGATCTGATCTCGAGGGGTGCTCGTTTGGCGAATTTAACGCAGAATAGAATCTGGTGGGAGGGTCCCGTTTGGTTGTCGCGTTTTGAGGAATATGAACGACGAAAATCGCAATCGTCATCCATTATCGAAGAAGACGAAAGAATCCTTCAAATTGAACAGAAATTGCACAAACAGGTTTTCGCGAACGTTGTCAAGGAGAGTCATATTGTAGAATTATTATTAAATAAATATTCGTCGCTGTCAAAAGTCGAAAGAATTTTAGCTTGGATCATTCGATTCAAAAACAACGTCAAATCAACTCGCGATAGACGGAGTTATTCGGAGGTTTATCAAACGCAGAAATTTGTTACGCACATCGGTTGCTAATTTTAACAATGCAAGAATTTTACTTCCCTGAAGTAGTATTGAAGTTGCGAGCGGGTAAACAAATTCAAGTCAGCAGCAAATTACTAGCATTTAACCTTTTCATCGACGAGAAGGGATTGCTCAGGGTGAGCGGCAGAATTCAAAATTCGAAAATGACCTTTGAATTTAAACATCCTATAATTTTACCTTCGGATAACAGGTTTACGCAATTGTTGTTTGAAAGTGAAGATCGCAGACTATTACACGTAGGACTCAGGCATTACTATATTCAATACGAGAAAATTATTGGCCGCTAAAAGGAAAGAGTATTGCTAGGAAAGTTGTACACGAATGCGTTACTTGTTTTCGAAATAAGCCAAAGACATTGTCACAAATTATGGGACAATTACCTGCGGTTCGGGTAACATCGAAACGACCATTCTTCGTTATCGGAATGGATTTTGCCGGACCGATCACAACATTAATAAATAGAGGCCGTGGTAGAAAGACAAACAAGTCCTACATCTCGTTGTTTGTATGCTTTACAAGTAAGGCGATTCATCTTGAGGCTGTCAGTGATTTGAGTTCAGCTTCTTTCATAGCCGCACTTAGGCGTTTCACGGGACGTCGAGGTTATCCTCAACGCATCTATTGTAATAATGCGACGAATTTCGTCGGATCAAGGAATGAAATTTGCGAGATGTATGATTTGATTGAGAAGGAGGAGCGGGAATTGAACGACAATTTTCCAAATAGAATCGAATGGAAATTTATACCACTGGCGTCTCCTCACATGGGAGATTTATGGGAAGCAGACGTAAAATCATGTAAATTTCACCTAAAACGAGTTATAGGAGAGAATTTATTAACATTTGAGGAATTAAACACAATTCTAGTTCAAATCGAGGCTTGCTTAAACTCGCCCGATTTGTCAATTGCCTTCAACAGCCGCTGACTTGCAACCGCTTACCAGGACATTTTTTAATTGGTGGTCCATTGACTGCTCTCCCCGACATTGACATAACCGAACTACCTACAAATCGCCTCGATCGCTGGCAGACCGTTCAAAAAATCACCCAATTATTTTGGAAAAGATGGAGTAAGGAATATCTAACATCTCTGCAAGGTAGAATTAAATAGACTCGCGAACAAATTAATTTAAGCATTAACGACATTGTAATAATACAGGACAATAACGCGCCACCACTGAAGTGGAGGCTAGGACGAGTAATCGAATTACATAAGGGAACAGATGATAGGGTGCGAGTCGTTACGTTACAGACAGCGAAGGGAACATGTAAAAGAGCTATAAACAAATTGTGCAAACTTCCGCTCTCTGATGCGTTTATTTAATCATAAGGATGAGGATTAATTGTTATTAATGGTGGGCGGGATGTTGACTGTATTGTAGAATTAGGGAACGATAGGACGTGCGAGAGATAGCGCGCGGTGCTCATATGTTAGCCTCTCGTTCACCGCCTACAAGGTGGGAGAAACTCGCAAAATTCTCTAAGAGAAGATCGAAAATCAAGACAGTATGTTGTATATCGAAACGCCTCTCGAAGCACACCATTTTCGTTAGTCATTACCGAGCATAGTGTATAATACTTTAGCATATTAAATTTATATTATATTGGAACTGCGTGTAAAATCTAAAGTAAATTCAGTTAACTTATTTTTTTTTTTTTTTTTTTTTTTTTTTTTTTTTTTTTTTTTTTTTTTTTTTTTTTTTTTTTTTTTTTTTTTTTTTTTTTTTTTTTTTTTTTTTTTTTTTTTTTTTATTATTCGTTCATTTATTGTGACACCAATCTCAAGACCACATTTAATTAATTATTGGAAAAAGGGCGGTGTTTTCGTTCGAGGTTGCCCTCCATCGCAGCACTCAATAAATTATATCTAATAAAATCAGTGTTTTATCACTCGCAAAATTATACAAAAACATATATATTTGTAATGTAATTATTTTTATATATATTTGTAATGTAATGTAATTATTTTTATGTTACATAATTTAATATTTTGTAATGTGTTTTTTTTATGTGTTTTTATGTAATTGGCAAATTCATTGTAATTATTAAAAAAAAAAAAAAAAAAAAACGTTGATATATAAATTAATAAATATAAAAAAAAAAAAAATTATTTTTATTAAATATATTTGTAATCATGGAATTAATTATAATTATAGTAATCTACATAATTATTAAAATATTATAATCGTTCATATATAATTGTATCTATATTTTTTTTTTTTATTATTTTCTGTTTTGGATTTTTTTTTTTTTTTTTTTTTTTTTTTTTTTTTTTTTTTTTTTATTTAATTATTTATTTTTAAAAATACTCCCGCATTGAAAATGATCTGGATATGATCGAAACGTTTGCGAATTAATCTTTTGAACTTTAACTGTTTTTTATGATAATTAATTTACACATTGATTTTTACTCTTTGATGTGCCCCAATTACACTTCTGTCTCTACCATCTGATTTTTGGACACATTAATGAGTTTGAATTATTTTGTTTTATTTTTGTACGATTATTTATTTTGAAAGATTTGTGATTTGACATCAAAACTGTGTGGTTTTTCTTTGCCTAATTTGTATTCTTGATTTTTAGAATATATGCCTGTATTTTATTTGGTGTATAAACCAAGATATCGATTCTCAAATCGAGAATACTATAGGACCCCCCTCTTTACTTCCCTAAAGAGACGTAGGCGAGAAAAATATCGGGGCGAAGTCGCTGAATCGGGAATCGAACCCGAGTCTTTCGCTTGCCGGGCGACTGCTCTTACCACTGAGCTATTCAGCTCCACACCGATACTTTTCTCGTCAATAATATTTATTAATTAATAAGACCGCGATTAGCTCCCGCGTAAATTTAAATTCGCGGAATTCTTTATCTATGATTAATTTGGTATATTAATATTTTTGAATAAAATGAAAGAAGAAAAGGCAGAGTAGTCGAGAAAATAGAAAAAAAGCAACTACAGTGATTTGACTATCTATATTCGAGAACAAATGTCCATAGAAAGTATTCCGATGAACTCTATAGGAAGGAAGAAACCCACACAGCACCAAGTCGTCTAAAAGTACTACTAAAACTGGACATTTTTTTGTCGCAGACATCTTTTACTGACATCGTTAAGTTGACAGAAAGATAAAAGTCGTCTCATGATCCGAATTCAGTGACTTTTTAGTCTTGTCCATATGATGACTAAAAGATGACTTAATTCATTCTATATAGACTATCGACACTCGGTAGTAGAAATACTTCAATACACACAATAAATGGATTAATTTTCTAATTTATCTGCCTAATTTCTAATAATTTGTTTAATATTCTGAATCTCAATAAGGAATCCAAATTATTAATAAATTATATAAATAAATATATATACATAAATTATTTTAAATTTAATTTGTCAGAAATTAAACTGATAAGCAGTAATGTCAGGAAAAAGATGCGGCGGCTTATATGCATACAATGCGTAACACACGTATATCCCTCACCGTATCTCTTCTTTGATTCACGCGATCAATTTGCTAGAATTTCTCGAAAGAAAAAAAAATCATACGATATATTTTTGTAATTAGAATTTGACAAATTATACAAAAGATATACGTAGATAGATTCACGTCGGACAAATCGTCAAACCTAGCTCTCACATGGACTATTATTTTCTAAACCTAATGTGATATGTAATAAATTAAATATATTAATAAATATGTAATAAATGTAATAAATTAAATATATAATTTACTAATATATATATATATATATATATATATATATATATATATTATATATATAATTATATTATATTATATATATATATATATATATATATATATATATATATATATATGATACATAATATTAAGTCCAAATGTTAATGCTATCAATATCAAATTATTTATGTTATTAAACATTTGAATAAAACGAATCCATTTATTTGATATTGATATCATAAATTCTATTATGTAAATTGTAATTTGTAAGTAGTAAATTGTGTTTTGTGAATTGTAAATAGTTATAATTGTATATTAATTATAACTTAGTATTGATATTTTTAATTATTGACATAATTGTGTATAAAATACAATTATAACTATAATTATATTGTATGAAATTGTATTTATGATTGTAAATTATATCAATGCATTCTTATGTAAATTACAGGAAAAATGATCGAAAGTATACATACAATAATTATATAGTAGTAATTCATTAAATTAACATATTTGTTTCTATAGTACATATTTTTGAAATATTCATAAAAGAGTAACTATTTATATATTCATATCAAAGAATCATAAATAAATTCGGAAAATGTTTATGAAATTCAATGCTAATTAATGATTAAATATAAGCTTTATAAAATATGACGAACGTCTTCGTTATAGAATCGCAAGTCAATCATTATATAAATTTAATGATACGTTTTTCGTTAGATTTATCTATTTGTGAATTCCATATCGCGCGGAACTGAATACTCATATTCGTAAAATAAATTAATAAATTATGATTGCGAAATTTCGTGCTCTTTCCGCGTTCTTTTCAGGTACTTATACAAGATTATCGGTTTAACAAAAGAATTTTTATCGCTGTCACTCTCGTCAGATAATATTCCTAAATATTGCTAATTAAATATAAAAAAATATCGAATAAGTGAAGATTCGATGTTATAAGTCAACGATTAAATATTAGCTTCACAAAATTTAATGATCACTTTTGTTATTATAAAATCGCGAGTAAATTATTATGAATTTAATAATTTATTTTTTCAATTATATTTGTATTTACGAATTTCGTATCGGAAAATATATATAAATAAATTAATAAATTACGGTTAGGAAAACACCGTATTTTTCCTGCGTTCTTTTTGCGCTCTTAAACAAGATCTCGAGTAGAAATAATAATAAGTATTCTTATGAATTATTCTTATGACTCTGAGAGCTATGCCGGCGATAATACACGCTGATATTTATATTCTTATATTTAAATTAATTTTAAGTGATGATCTTAGGTCGCGTCTTAAGATTCCGTTCAGTTCTGAATATTATATTTATATTATATTTATGTTATATTATATTATATTATATTATATTATATTTTACGTATTTTAATATAGCAAACAATTTTTTCGATATTAATCGCGAAAATCTAGAAAAGGAATTTAACGGAGCGTCTTCCATCACTAATTTAGTCTTTGAGTGTCTTCTCGCGAATAATAATAGAACCGAAAAAATTAGTTCGAAAGACCGAAAACCGTGTTATTATTATTCCTTTATCGAAACAATTTTCGAGATTATGACATACAGGGTGTCCCAAAAGTCCTGGATCGGTCGAATATTTCATAAACTATGCACTTTAGAAAGAAATGTTTCAGACAAAAGTTGTATGGCTTGAAGAGGGCCATCAGATAGTGACAATGATTTGATGGGAGAGTCATTTGAAAGTCACGTGAAGATCACCGTCAATTTCTTAAACGGAATCCCCTATTTTTTATTACATATTCGTGTAGCTTATCTCGAGAGCATTCCAAAACACTATAATTAAATATTTCTTCATTGAGTACTTTTCGAGTTATGAGGCTTGAAATCATTTCTTAATTTTACATAAACCGTAAAATATCTTGTAAAATATTCATTTTTCGATTATTTTACTTTAATAATTTTATGTACAAAATAATGAGAGGAATCAATTGGTGTAAAGAAAACATATAGTTATTTCGAAGAAAAAATATGTTATTGACATTGTTGCCTCTTTTCCGCGATGATGATCGGTTGTTGGTCGTCAATAGTAATTTGCTGAGCGACTTGCTTCATTCGTGTCGTTTGACAGTTTGACAGGTTGACTGTTACGTTAAGAAAAGAAGAAATATAAAATAAATTAAAGTTAAAGAGAAAAAGGGTGGAAGAAGCGGAAAGACAAATAGAGAAAAGGCATTTTATAT